CAGAATTTTTTTTTTTTTTCTTTCCTTGCCAAGATAAACCCCCAAACATTCACTTCCTATTTGAGCATTTTTAACAGCAGCAAAGCAATGACTAAGCATCGTTCCTGAAAGCAAGCTCTCCCTGGGATGCCTTCACTTCACATTAAGTCATTAATTGATCCTTAGGTCAAAGAAAGGAGTAAGAGGGAGGTAACAGCTATGAGACTAGGGCCTGGGAACTAAGCACAAGTGCCCCCAGGAGCACACCAGTCTCATTTTCTCCCGGGCTCAAAGAATATTTAAATCATTCCCCTCTGAGCAGAATAGATTCAGCTAAAGACAAAGAGAGCAGCCTGTGAACAACACAGCCTGTACGCCACAGTATCCCCTTGGGATGTGGCAGCACAGGCTTTTAGCCTGTGGCAGCACAGCCCCTTTCAGAAGGGAATGCATCTAGCTTGCTTTTGACAAGTAGGAGAGGGCGCAGCTCTGCAAGCTGGTGGAAGGGACTACCCACTTATCTGCACACTTACCTGAGATTCCTGGCGCACACTGACCTCCTCCCCACCATCCTTCTCCACCTCCTCCTTGCTTGGTGATCTTGATACATACTTAGTTTTGTTGACAGATTCCTCAACCACCTTTTTTTCAGACTCCTTCATTATTTCCAGAGACTCTTGTGTTGTGTTGCTATTTGACATCTTCAGAGCTCCACAACGTAGCAACAGGCACCTGCCCGAAGAGATGACAAATGGGCAGAAAGGAGTCAGGGAGTGGAGAGAGTTTCTATCTGGAACACAAACCCTTGCACATATCAGTTGTAACTTCTTTGTAACTCATTTTGTATACAAAGACCCCAAACCAAGCACTCCCATGACAGTGCACCCACTCATCCCCTTGGATGCAGCCCCTTGCAGCCACTGGCTCAAGGGGACCTTGCAGGAGCTCCATGATTCTCACCAGGACTCTGGAGACACTAGCAGAGCTGAAAAAAGCCTCTCAGATACACAAAGGTCCCCAGTGCAAGCACTCTGCCCTTTAACTTCCTTGATGCAAGGCAGAGAACGAGTCCTAATGCTAGCAAACATCCAGAGGCAGGGAATTCAGTAGGTGAAATAAACTCAAGCAACCAGAGGAGGTGTGCTCTGCCCCAGGACAAACAACAACAAAAAAATCTGCATTTTTTCCCCAAATCCCAGCCCAGTCTTTCTTGCAATTAGTCAAATCTTCAGTGAGAAAACAGCCTTGTACTCAAGACACTGCTGTTTCTTCCTGTGAAATAAGGAAACCCCTGACATCTTCTCTCTAGCCGCCTACGGTTAGATACTTCAGGAAAAGTGAGAGTCAAAAAACAACAGTCAAATTACAGATTAAGATGAAAAAATGCTTCCCAAAGTTAATTGCTTCCTCTTGATTAACAAGAACACAGGCAGTCCACAGAGCCCCTGAAACGACCTCTGAATTACAGCAGAATCTAGACCGGGCAGCAACACTTGTCTCAGTCTGCTGACAGTCTTAAACAGAAGCAATGAACATGTCACATAATCATTCATCAAATTAAGTGTTAATTCCAAACCGATTGTCTACAATTTAAATGTCAGCCCTCTCAGCTAACTCAAAGCAGGCCTCTTTGAGCTTGAGTGAGGGCTAAACCAGCTTACGTAGGACTGCAGAGAGATTCTGGTACTGAGAAATACGTTTGTAGACATACTGCCTGTGCAGAACCCAATGTTCATCCTGATGACAGGTGAGGAGGCTGGATCAAGGCAGGCCCAATGAGACAAGTTTCCAAAAGAAAAGGGGAAGCCTAAATTTAAAGAGAGGCTCAAGCAAAAGGCCTGGGCACTGGAAAACACAGCTGATGTTAAACAACTTGTTTTATTAATTACTCTGGCAGAACACAGCTGAAAAAGAGTCAGATCTCACAGAGATTTATTGATTCTTGGCTCTGCATAGCAACTGCTAATATTCATTAACTAACTCAACTTCATTCCCCATTAATTTGTGGGGCTGCTGAACATAAAACATGTATTTGACTCTTATTACAGCTACTGGAAACAGTTCCAGATACAGAAAGTGAGAGTGTGCAATCAAGTGCTTCTAGTTCATGGATTCTTAGAGGGATTTGTAACAAACTTAAGACCTCCAGAGCAGACACCTTGTTGGGAATGGAAAACGGTATGCGTTACAGGTAAGCCCTTGTCGCAGGGCTACAGCCAGACAAACCATAGTACCATGCAGCAAGTGTGCCTGGGAGATGCCAGCACCACACTGGATCCAAGGAAGAGTATGGACGCTTACTGACAAAAGGAAGAAGCTGTCGTCACCTTAGCTTTCCTTCACACCTATCATTGCCTGTTCTAGACTTATGATGAGCCTTCCTCCAGCAATAAAACTCACCACCATTGGTTCAGTCTCACAGATGGGAGAACCAGGAAAGGAAAAACTTACTTAACCCAAGGCCTTGATGAGTAAGCGGCACCTTGAGATTGTGTGGGAAATATCCCTGTTCACCCTAGGACATTCACCGGAAAATAGTGCAGGGAAAGCAAAAAAACCATGGTATGGATGAAGCTGACAGGGCTGCACTGTCCAGTTTATGCATAGGAACCAGTTATGTTTCAAGGCAGACACATATATCTGTAGGAGCGTGACTGTGGATGCTATGGGTTGATACAGGCAAGTAGAGACACCCCAGAACTGTATGAAAACAAGGTATTTCTCACTAGACAGATCCCAGACAGTGTTCACATGCATGCTTTCCAGAGCAGGAAGTTTACAAGAAACCCACTGTTAACTCCATAAGCAGCTTCCTACATAGCACACATGAAAGTGTTAAGATGAGGACAACGAGGGGCCGGAAGGGTCTCTTCTCACCCGAGGGACAATACTGAAAAAGTGTAACTGGGCAAGATCCCGATGTCTGACATTAGTCTTGCAAGATGATTCTGCGAACACCTCTCCCTTCCGGCTGCTAACAATTTCCAAGCATGTCTGTGGCCTCAAACGCCAGGTGGAAGAGAGGGCAAGAGCACCTCAATCTGCTATTCTGAATGCTAATCAGTGCAGATCCGTGCACTGTACAGACCACTTGCTGATCCCTACTCCTTCCTGGCACAGTCCCACAGGACAGTGTGCAGCACGACAGACAATCCCACTGGCAGGCGTCTCCTGGGGCAGCCCTACAGGAAGCAGCTTCCCTCGGGCATCACTGAGGCATCCATCCTCCAGCTGCAAGGGTCTGCTCTTCATCCCGGCAGGCTGAGTATCCAGCAGTCATCAGCTGGCACCGCAGCAGAGATCGCAGCATGCTGCACGGGGTGGCGAGCCCCCACATGAGGGAGTCGTGCTCTGCTGCGATGCCTCTGACAGGAACTAGGTCAGAAAAGGAAAAGGGAGCACTTGCTTGAGTCACAGGCCAACCTCCTTAGTGGGAGCCTGGATTATGCAGGGGGTGAAGCTCGTAAACTCTGCCTCCCCCCTCCCCAAAATGCTGTAGGAAACTGCTTTAGCCTCATATCCAGACCAGGGGCCCAGCTTGTAAACAAGCCAGGAAGATCTGTAGCAGATTTGGGAAAGGGAGGCAGAAGGAAGCACCTGAACTGCACACACAACGCTTATCTAAAGGGGGAATTTTGGCATTAAAATAAAGGAACAGGTTTTGTACAGCTCATTCTCCTTGCAACAGCCAGCCTATCACAAGTATTTAGCCCCAAGCCAAGCACCTCAGTCAAATTTGAGAAGGGTAACAGAATCTTTTCTCATCATACTACAATGTAACTTCGGCATCACAACAAGGGGAATATCATCGGTTTTCCCCCTCCTCTTCCAGAAAAGACAACTCGGAGAGACTGAATTGACATTTGTAGGCTGCTCCTTCCTGATAAAGCTTCTGTCCCTGACAGCAGTCCTCCAGGATACTTCCCTGCACATAAAATTCAGAGGAGATACGTGCACTGCTAGTGCTTCTCAACAGCAATGCTTTCGAGAGGAGGTTTCCTTTTGTATGAATGAATCAGCCCTGCTCCCCCAGGACAGATGTGGGACGAAGTGAGGGGGTGGCAAACATGATCTGCTCTGACAGACAGAGACTTGCAGAGAAAGTGGAAGTTCAGAGGACTTGGTGGGGTGGGTGGGACTGAGCTGTGCCTTGCCAGGGAGAGATGCAACATTAGGGAAGCCACAAAATCTGTGTCAGAGAAGAGAACAACAGAGCAACAGAAAGGTGGGTGAGCTGCCATTGGTTTTCTTTGCTTGGGTCTGGAGGCTGGCAAAGGAAACAGGCCAATCAAGGCAGTAACAGTGTGAACACTTTGTGCATGCTGGCCAAGGGCCAGGTGAAGGGGTAGCCAGGACAGATTTACATCCTCCTCTTTACCCTGAAGGGGAACGTTGAATTCCGCCTCTGCTGCCTTCTTGCTGCTTGCTATTTGTAACTGCCAAGCCATGACAATGCAGGCAGCAGCTGGTCCTGGTTAGGCAGGGAATAAAAGCAAGACACTTCTGCATTTACAGTTAAGATGGATCCAGCAGCAAGCCTGGGAAAGGGAGGAAACCTACTGCTAAATACACTCTCTCCCTGGCCTCGTTTCTCAGAGTGCAGACACGCTCCTGTGAGCTAAATGAAGGTGCAAAGGAGACATACGGCTGCTTGGCTGCAGCTGCCTGCACACACACTCCTGTGTTGCAATAGAATAGAGGTATCCCACCATGCAAGAAAGTTAAGCTACCTCTCAGTTTTCAGGGGGAAAGGAAACAAGGGTGAGTGGGCTCCATTTTCTCAGTCTCTGTCCAAGCCATGACCACAGAAGCAAGTTTGCATGCTTGCAGCCTTCTTGACCAGGCTTCACAATTTGCTTCAAAAGACAAAAAATCTTGACTCACTTCTCCATCTCCTCCCTTGGTTATTAACCAATTCCTTTTTTGCTTTCTGAGACTCAGTCCAAAAGGCATTCAACAGGGCAGAGTAAGAGTCTTATCAGACTCAGCCCAAGTCATCAATGTTACTGGAACAGAGTTTTCACTGCAGAGACGGTTGCAGAGCCTCACTGCCAAGAAGAACCCCCGACACAGCCATAACAGCAGCACCTTTCCCATCCTCAGGCTAGTTGTAAAATATAAAGAAAGCATACTTAGAAACAAACCACATCCAATCACATGCTAAGCAGAGTTAAAGTGCCCTGAGGGCTCAGAAATAAACATCCTGAAGGTAGTGATTCACTGGTGGGCAGGACAGTCCCCACCACATTGCTCTGATGGACAATCAAAGTCAATTCTGAGCAGTGGAAGAACTGGCAGGAAGATCTGGCCCAGCCTAAGGGAATTTTGCTGGTGCAGCTGGTAATTAAAAACTAACAAACGAGCCTGTAAGAGGGAAGGGGGAAAGCTGTGGCCTTTTTCCAGCATCTGAGTGTTTCATTTCACCCCTCTGTGTAAGGTTTTAGTATTAGCTTCATATATCACTGAGTAAGTACCTCCTGCGAGGTTAAGTGATGATGCTCTCTCAAACAATTTGCTCATTGGCTTCCAGGTAAACCAATCAGAATCACAGCTCCATGGCAACAGGCCCTATCACTAGGAGCAACCAGACAAGTTTGGGGGTGATTTAGATTTCCCTTCCCGAGCACAGCGTCTGCTGTAGAAGAAGGTTTTCACAGGAAAAAGTGGAGGCGTTGAGGTGCAGAGGGTGCTGCAAATTCAA